GTTGCGCCAACTGTATTTTCTAATTGTATACGGTTTTAGGAGGAAACCTCTGTCTCTCCTTTCACGCCGCCATCTTTCCAGCCCATTACTTTTATAGGACCAACAGATAAAGCTGTAGACGTTATCACTGTGAGTCACTCAAACCAAGCCAGAGTACTCCCCTCTGCCCTGTACTACCTCTTTCCCCCGCCAGCACCTTACTGCGATCCAGTGGTTACCACCTACACACTGGGGCCTCACTCTTGGGAACCGCCATGCCCCAAGAGGTAGAATCTCACTGTGGGAGTGGAACTCAGTTGCCTTCCCTTGGACCACATGCCAGGAAAGGAAAGAAAGGCCACTGGGAACCTGGAGTCCCTGGGGCAGGTGGTGAGACTGACCAGCTCTTGCCCACTCAGCCAGGAGTTGTGGGTCGCAAGAATGTTGTCAACAGAGGGCAACTGGGTATACAGGATGCCCCAAACCCAGGATATCCTACCCCAGGGAAGTGGCGTGGGGCATGACAGAAGTTAAATGATCTTATATGTAAATACCTACATAATACTCTTGATTTGGCCTTTTGGCCCACTAAGCCTAAAAATATTTTACTGGCATTTTACAGAAAAGGTTTGCCTACTCTTGATCCAGTGGATAAAGTATAGAAAATCCAAAAGTCTGAATATGGTGTTTGTTAGGTTGAGAAAGCCAAGAAAATGCAGGAGTCCAGTTTTGTGACAGAAAGATTGCATAGAAGACTTTGTTAGCACAGGACTTTAAGACTCAGGGTTTCACAGTCATCAGCTTTTAGCTGAGTGGATGTCCCCCAGGGTCTGGGCAGGACCCAGGTACAAGAATTTCCATCTTTGGTTAGTGGGACTTAAGCCCTGTGGATGTTCTCAGGGTCTGGACAGGGTGTTTTTCACCTTTCCAGGCCTGTGATTTCTCTAAGAATTAAACTAAAAATATCACAATTAGTTTTCCTGTTTCTGCCTTCTCTGCAGTGTTGTGTGTAGCAAGCAATTTAGTTTAGGGAAAATTCTTTTTAGAGAAACAACACTGCAAGTTGGAAGAATCTCTGTTTTGGAAAAATTAAGAGCCAGTGGCTAGCACTATGCTTGGAACTTAAGTGCTACCTGAATATTTGTTGAATGTTAAATTCAAAATATTTGTAATTAAGAGGAAACTGGCCTTGCATAAAGAAGCCTATTCAGGAATGTCAGATAGTGACAAATTCTGTGAGGAAAGATAAAAGTAGGTGAACAGGTTAGAGAATGTGCTATTACTATTTTACAGACTTGTAGAATTATTTAGAGAAAATGGCATCACACTCTAAATACTGTTTTTCAGTTACTTTTTAAAATTTGGTCATATTTCCATGTCAGTACAAATAGAGTCACATTCACCAAACATCTAAACAATAAATATTAAGTGCCTCTTGTGCAGTAGGCCCTGTGCTACGTGCTGTTTGGTACATGGCTGAGCAACACAGACTGAGGCCCAGCCTGGATGAAGTTAGTAGTCTAAATATGTAGTTTGCCTTAATTCTTTTGAATGGTCTTAACAGTATTGCCTTGTGTATTCGTTATTGCTGTGTAATGAATCAGCCCAAAATTTAGTAGTTTAAAACAACAAACGTACTATCTTACACAGTTTCTGAGGATCAGGAATTTGGAGGTGACTTATTAGCTGGGCCCTCCTCTGCAGGGTCTGACATTATTAAGTTAGCAAAGCCAAGAAAGTGGCATTCTGACCTATCAGAGGGAAAAGCCCAGCCTGTGCACTGGCACTTCTTAAAGACCTGGGAATTGGCCCCATTAGATAACCTTTGGAAATGGCAGTGAAGATGAAACAGCAAGAATGAAAGTCACTTTGAGAAATGAATTCTTAGTTCCTCTGCAGCTAGGACTGCTGTGCTGCCAGGGAGTTTCTTTGGAAGTTCTCTGCACTTGGGAACACCGGGCACATTTGAGGGCAAGGTACTGTACTAAATGAGGAGCCGTAAGTGAATCTATTTAGGTTTATAAGTGGGCAAAATTATGCGTGAATGTTCAAACCCACATCCTTCTACCCAAATACCAGAATATTGACAACCAGGATTTTACCTTTCTACCGAGAAGACTGGAAATGCCTTCTATTGAGGACTTCCCTATTCACCCTAAAAAGACAAAAAATACTGAGATCTATTTGTTTTCCAACAAAACTGCCTCATCATAGAACCGTTCATTCAGTCAGTCCTTTAGTCCATACGCCCTGTGTAGGTGCACACAGTGCCCAGTCAGTTGTCTGTTACTATATTCACTAGAGTCTGAGAGAAGCCTCTGAATGTGAAAGACAGAGCTCAAAACAATCTAGAAAATGCTACTTGGAGAAAACAAACTGTTTTAATACTCTCAGAGGGATAAATGTAGATAAAACATTAAACAAGAATGAGATGTAAGAACAATTCTCAAAGAATGAGAGCTTTTGGAAATCTAATTCAGTGAGAGACTTGTTAAAGAAATTTCCCAGAAGTAAAACAAAAAGATAAATTTATAAACATCAAAGAAGTAAAATAGAAAAGCTAGAGGACCCATTCAGAAGTCTGTTCAGAGAAGTTCCAGAAAGTGGGAGGAAATCCTTAACAAAATAATGCCTTCCCTGATCAAAAGGAGAAAACCAAATGAAGACATGAATTTTCCTATTGAAAGGACTCACTAAAATTCAAGCTAATAAATGAAAATAAATCTATATTAAGGCACCTCATTGTGAAAATTTTAGTACATTGGAGCCAAAGAATAAATCTTAAGTATTTCCATAGATTAAAAGGGAAAAAGCAGATTTCATGCTCATCAGAATGGCATAAAACTTTTTATCAATACAGGAAGATAGAAGACAATGGGCCAGTGCTTCAGATGCTGAGGGAAAATATATCCAAGCTAGAATTCTTTATCCAGACATACTGTTGCATATCTGCCCAGAATACATACATTTTCAGATATCCCAGGCTTCCAGAAGTTTTATTTCCCATGTATTCTTTCTTAGGAAGCTCTACCAGGACTCATTTTTCTCCAAAACTAGGTAATGAAAATGAAAAACAGGATATATATGTATTAGGGGTCTGGTAGGAGGGAAAGGAATCACCAGCACAAGGAAGGAAAGAAAGCCCAAGAGGGTGGATGTGCAGCAGGCCTCACGGTCAGCCAGTCTAGACTGGCCGCTAGTCAGAAGGCAGGTGTAATTAATAAAATACCTAATGAGCTTGAATATTTTGAGAGAGTTATGCAGCTGGGAAAAATATGTGGAATTAATATGTACATAGAAAATAAGGAAATAGGAAAGAAGACAATTTAAAATCATGTTCCATGGCTTAACTGTCAGGAGGGTTCACATAGTCATAACTGTGAGGGGAGGATGCAGCATATATGCGTGTTTGGGATGGCTGGAAGGGGAATAAGTATTGCTGAGCTTACGTGGGCAGAAAAGAAACTTAAGCTTCATCTTTCATACAAGAAAGTGGTACTTAATGTTTGAAATTAAGTAATAATGTTAATAAAAATAGGTAAATACTAAAAGAATTCACTAAAACAGATGCAAATGTTATCTTTGGGGAGTGGAAAGGGTTTTGGATACAGTAGGCACTGTTGATTTCTGTAATGAGCCTCAGACTATATGACTAAA